ACACTTAATTAAATTTGAAAATCCTATAGTCATAGTCAGGGGTGAAATCAACTTACCTTCACTAACAATTCACAAATGTATTTGTGTTATTTGATAAGAAATGGTTTGTTGTCAAAATGATGTATTTTATACATTTACAATTGTATTGTGCATTAAAATGATTTTATGTAACTGAAAATGCCCAATATACATATTCTTTCCTTTTTGTTCTGTAACTGATTTTTCCACCTACTGTTGATTTTATCCCAAAATGTTCTGCCTCAAATTAAGAATCTTAAGATGATTAGCCACGTACCCCCACTATTTCTTTCAATATTTCAGCACAATCAAATCAATAAAGTTTTTAGATTTATAACTTGTTCATGTGGCATAGATTTACACTTAAAATATATGTTCAAAAGAGACCTTTTTTCTAAGCAGATACACATGTACAGTTACCATGTTGATTCATTTTTGTGACTAAAAGTAGCCTAATCACATTTGGTTTGTACTCATTTTGGTTTCATCTATTTATTTCACCTAACAACATAATTGTCACCTCATTCACCCCCAGATCCCATTCATTTTAAAAGTTGTAGAAATTTCCCCAAAACTCATATCTGTTTTTTCTATTGTAACTATTCACTGGGATGTGACTTGCAATTATCATCAACCTGTATATTTCTACTTTCTTATGCAATCTTGATGAAATCAGTTCTGATATTATATTTGTCCTTTTCATTAATAATTAAATGTATATCTTTAGTTCCCTCAAGACCAGGTCATCTTCATGCAGAAAACGTGTGTTTGTGTGTGGGTTTATATATCACAGTCTTCACTAGTGCAGCCTGCACTTACTGACCTCTGCCACTTGTCATGGCTGGTAGAAATTGGGGGATGCTGAGAAGAAAGCGAGAGTAGGTATAAACAATCAAATAACAGAGTTGATTGATAGTTTATCTTATAGATGTAAATGTAATCTTATGTAAAAATAATTTGGGAAGTACCGTTTCAAACCATTCAAAAAGAATTTTATTTAATTAACTCACTGCAAATGAAAGTGGGAAATTTCGTCTACTTTCCAAGATTTTGTACTTACCCCAGAACACAATTAAATATACCTTTCTGAAATCTGACTAGTTCTAGCTCACTTGATCTTGTGTGGGACTTAATAACAGCTATGGTCAACTGAAGATTTTATATTACAATTTTAATTATATAGAGAAGATGCAGACTCTATAGTAGCATTACATAATATTAGTATGGATAGTAACAATCAATGTGACATATTTTGGATGCTACAGGAACATCCACTCTAGGATAATATAGGATCTCTACTATAGAGATTACCTTGTAAACTAACATACTGTTGCCGCTTGCAACTAGAATTATATGAAATGTATTGACAACTTACCCAGGATATCTTTTTACAGGTAGTCCTCAATTTACGATCACAATTGAGCCTGAAATTTATGTTGCTAAGTGAGAAATTTGTTAAGAGACTTTTGCCCCATTTTATGACTTTTCTTGCCACATTTGTTAAGTGAATCACTGCAGTTATTAAATTAGTAACACAGTTGTTAAGTGAATCTGGTTCCCCATTGCTTGTCAGAAAGTTGCAAAAGCTGATCACATAATCCCAGGACACTACAAGGGTCATAAATATGAGTCAGTTGCCAATGCCTGAACTTATATCATGTAAACATGGGGATGCGGCAACCATCGTAAGTGTGAAAAATGGTCATAAGTCACTTTTTTCACTGCCATTGTAAGTTTGAATGGTCACTAAGTGAATTGTTGTAAGTTGAGGACTGTCTATATTTGTGACGTAAAATGTAGTCTTTATCCTGAAATGTCAGAAGATTTTTTTTAACTTCTCAACAAAATTGCTCTACCTGAATAAAAATAATTTATCACTTTCATACCTAAACAGGAAAGTGAATGCTAAAATTCCCACAAGAGTTTCAAAGACTACAATCTTCCACACCAGCTTTCTCTCCTTATATTACGTATTGCCCTTGGTCACGACAAACATAGAAGAAGAAAAAAAAACAAATCTAAATGTCAAGCTTCTGATAAGAGTATGAGAGTTGATTAATATTTCATTGCATACTGGACTTTGATTATCTTGTTTGATTAAGAACAGATAATATTGTTTGTCACTGCTTCTCCAAAGAGTTTCCTGTTCCTTTTTGATAACCTAAACTTTCTATTTTTTTCTTCATGGTATTTAATTGTAGTACATGCAAGGGAATGAATGGAGGTTATGGTAGGAGGTCCAGGTTACTTTGACTCAGTTGTGAGGTGAGATCTTGTGTCCTATCATAGTGCTGTCCAGCTGATGGGGCGTGGGCATAATTTGTTGGAAAAAAGTGACCTTTCCTGTTTCAGAATATATTTACAGTTTAGATATCCAGAGATATAGTGTATGTAAAAAAAGAACACTCTTTGCCAAAATTCCGTCATACAAAAGTAAACAGTTTGATACTCTTCCCTATTGCTAGATGTTGAAATATCAAAACCATGTACTTTGGTTATGTTTCTCTGCAACTACAGCAAATGCAGAAATAGTCACCTTAGAAATGCTTTTAGGGGAGTAAATTTTTTCAGTTACCAAAAATTTTGCATTTTTCAGTAAAGCAGCAGTGTGAATTAATTGGCTATCCAATATAGCTGCTGTTGTAATAAAATACACTGCAATCTAAATATTTTTAATAAAATTAATCAATTATTAATGCAACACCATAATTTAACTTTAGGTTAAGGCATCCACATTTGGTGTTTTCCTGTATATTTTATGGGACTTGCTCTTTTATAATTTTATCTCATAGTCTTTTAACATGTAAAGTCCCACATCTTTATGTATTTTTTACCTCTTTATTATTTTTTGCAAATAAATGAAAACAACAAACATACCTAATACACCACCTTCCTATTTTCCCCACTACAAACATCTTGTGAGGTGCGTTGGGCTGAGAGACTTTGACTGGGTCAAATTCACCTAGCCCAGGACTGTCAAGCTCACAGCCTGTGGCCCGGATGCATCATGCACTAGCCACACCCATGCCTGGTTTGGCGAAGGGGGGAAAGTCGCAATACATCACATGCCACCGTAACATTGCCTGACCTTGGTGGCTTTCATGCCTAAGAAAAGGCTAGAATTTATAATCCCCAGGTTTCTAGTTTGGTACCTTAACCACTAGATCAAACTGGCTCACATGGTTTTTGCTTTTCTGATCATTCAGCCAACAGTGAAATGATGCGGTGAAATGAGCCCATGAAGAGTGAGTTCATGTATTTGTCATTTATCTTTCCAGTGTTAAGAGCATGTTATCCTCTCTCTTACAAAGGCAAAGATTTTTCTGCAGATGTTAACAAAATTTACTAGTGGATGCATTTTAGCTGGAATACATGATAGTACAAACACAACACATTTTTTAAAAAGAGTGTAGTTTAGAAGGGGCAAAGCCCAAAAAGCAGCTTTTAAGATCTTGAGATAAGCAACAGATGGTATAATTATGCAAAATCAATAGTGCAGATGGTGTACTATAGAAAGTAGCAGGTGGGTTAATTTTAGGTTAGATTATGGCCCTCTTTGTTTTCCCTTACGTCTGCTGCAGAAACAAATAAAACTTTACCAGATATACAATATTTATGTGCTATGGTATCACTGGAAGAGGTGTTTGAAAATGAAAACCTATGTGTTGCCTTTTTCTCTCTTGTTCTTTAATCAATTTTAGTTTTAGAGGTGTTTCTACATGGATGTTGGTAAGCATGGAACAATTACATTTAAAAAAAATATATTGGCTAAAGATGCAATATAATCATTTTTTTAAAAGCTATTGACTGTACTGGTAGCAAGCAGGGAAATACTTTAACCCTAAAGTGTCCTACATTATTAGTTTGGGTGAATCTTAGATTTATTTAAAAATTAAACTAGTTTAATTAGATTGACCTAAATTCAAAAGAGCCCCAAAAGCCCTGGAGTCTGGACAGATGTTTAGTATTTCCTTATAAAGGTTGGGAAGATATTTTATATTGATAAAAACCAATATACTGAAGTAAAATGTAAAAATTACAAGTCTATATACCAAGTGTTCTCTATTCTCTATCCTGTCCTATTGATATTTCTACATTGCTACACACATTATTACTACAATAATTACACCTACAGTAATTTTATTATTCAGTTACTATTACAATACTACATTCTATAGCAAATCTATTTTCTTCTTACACTATTTCTCCTGCTTTTTTCTTCTATTACTGAACCGCGTGTAGAATATTTGCAACTTTCCATGTTGTGCCATAGTATGTTTGCACTTTTCTTAGATGTGCCTCTTTTTCTTCTGGACAATTTACTCCTTTTGAAAGAAAAACACCTCCTTTGGTTTGGTTGTTTCACCTTATTTGCTGATAACTACAAAGCTTCCAAAACCCCTATCTTCTCCCATACCTGTTTCAAGGTTACAGCTTGAATTGCAGCCCTGCTGTGCTGATGAGGGGTGGGAAAGGCTCAGATAAGAAAGGAAGAAGGCAGCACAGGTGCCTGCAATTTTTGTAAGTAGCCTATTCTTCCATGGGGACAATTCCTCCCCCAAAGATTTTATCCTGATTTATTCTGAAAAGTAGTCAATTCAGTACTATTGAAATGGTCAGTTGGCAAGCATCATCCACTTGTGTTTCATCTTATTAAATATGTAACAGTAAGTAAATGAAATGCAACTCTTATCAGGAATTACTAAATATTATTTGATCTTTTTCAAGGTACTTGACCAAAAATGTATGACAGTCACGAAGATGTTGATTCGGATTCTGAAAAGAACTCCAAAGAGAGGGAGCAGAAGCTGAATTCAAATCCAGATATCGATAGAGGATGGGCTTGGATGATAGTCTTTTCTTCTTTCCTGGTGCATATACTCATCATGGGATCACAAATGGCTCTTGGAATTCTTAACATGGAATGGCTTGAAGAGTTCAGTCAAAGTCGAGGGTTGACAGCGTGGGTCAGCTCCCTCAACATGGGCATTACTCTGATTGTAGGTAGGATCCCATATTGTTGCTATTTTATACCAGTTGCCATCTTGATTAAATATTGACGTATCAAAATTGGTACTATGCAGTTATGTGGGGTAACCCAATATCTCAGCGAAGAAAGCTTCTATACATGGGATAAGAAATACTCAATAACATCATAAATGTTTGCAAAATGTTGCAGAAGAAGTTCTTGCAGGCTTTATAGCAAGGCTCTATTCTCTTCAACAGCCAGAAAGGAAACGGGGAGGCACAAAGCCTCACAGTCAGGTAGGAAAGTACTGCAGTGTGCTAATTGGAGCCGTGCAGATTGCCGACCACCTTTAGATTTCTTTTTGATGCAATTCAGAATGTTTGCCTAGAAGGTATTATTGCATTTTGGATGGAAAACAACTTTCCTCCCAGGTCACCTTGACCCTAACTTCAGTCTGCCTCAGCAACAGTCTGGCAATGAGATGGAGATTCCACTGTGAAAATAGGATCTTCAACAAACAGTAAACAGGCCACCTTGGACCAGGGATCAGGAGGCTCTCTTCATAGGCCCTTCATGTCTGAATTATACCTTATTCAGATGGTTTCTGTAGAATTCCCTAAACTCTGAATACAGTTGTTTATTTAAATTGCATACATGACCAACCATCTCAGAATAATACTACGGGCAGTGTGCGAGGATTAAAACATGAACGTGAACAGCATACAATCTGGTGCTCAGTATAAAACACAATAATTCTGGTCACAAACAACACATCAACAACAGCAGAGCACATCCAATGTCCTGATCCAAATGACTGGGGGAAAGTCTTTCAAACATCGTTTGAATGGCTAACTAGGTTGGAGGTTATTCAGATCTCTAGACGGATGCTGTTTTATAGACAGGCCCTGCCACAGAAAAGGCACAAAACTGGGATCCAACAGCATGGTATTGTTTAGTAGAGGAGACCCAGAATATTTTCTGCTGCTAGATCTGTTGGGCTGAGCAGCAACAATGGGACAGAGGCAGCCCCACAGTTTGGTTAAAACAAATTCCTGCCCTGACCATCTTTCCGGTAGGCCTGCAAGTATAGAATAGAATTAGAATAGAATAGAATTTTATTATTTGTATGCCGCCCTTCTCTGGGAGGACTCAGGGCAGCGAACAATTCAAAAGGGGGAAAGGGGAACATAAAAACGAAATACAAATAATAAAAATAGGCAACAGTCGCACAACCATACATGTCGAGAGGGGAGGGAACTCATC